TTACTAAGGGAGACATGAACAAACATATTCACCCCAGATAGGGCAGCAACAACAACAGACAAATGAAACCAATCCACCGAAGTCTAGCTGGATGAACCAGTAAGTTTATTAGGATTAATTATGGGAACCTGGGTGAAGCAGCAACACTGGAATTCCCGGCACAGGTAGCGACAATGAAGAGTCTTCTCACCCTCTACAAACCCCCTGCAACAGAAACCGTTTCCTGTTTATATCACTAGTGGGAGGGACCCCATAAGTCTCTCCTTCACACAGGAAAGAGTGTCCAAACTTGGAGAAAATGACTGCACAGCAATTGGGCAGCTCATAGAGCTGTTCAGAGAACATCCACATCTGTAACCATGGCGCTTATGCAGAAATTAATGCATTTGCTCTGCATGGTCAGCTCAAGTGGAGGGTGCAAGTGCCCCACTAACACTAGGTACCCAAAAGTGGTATTATTTGAGATCTCTGAGCTGCAAGTCTAAGTGAAGTGTTGATGAAACATTGCTGAATGACTGTGGGTCACACCTCAGTTGCCCCTGCAAGGCTCCAGGAGATGTAACTAGGCTGAGGGTAAACATTCCACACAGTTAGGATTTGGCCTCTGGACTGTGAGCAGCCTGAGAGCAAGGCTAGCCTAGGCCAACTCTATGGTCCTTGGGTCTGGGCAATCAGGTGAGGAAGCGGCTATTCTAACCCTGTATTGCATCCTCTTCACCAGGGCTCCTTCAGAAGACCACAGAGTACTTACTTTTTGTGAGCACAATGCAGAGAAGCCAGCTCCCTCCTCTATCAAGACAATATAGTGTCTTTGTGAGGCCAGCAAGCAGGAGTCTGAGACAATTCAGGTCAGAATAAATTGGCATAGTTCAGAGGAGGACAAAACACTTGTAAAAATCATCTTTCCCAATTCAATTTCCAATTCCATCCAGCTCTGTGTCTCTTAAGTTGATGACAGGCATAGAGGATCAGTAGGTTTGATGGCAAAATGATGATTAGTTTTTCTAAAACTCTGCTGCTTTAAAATTGTAGCCCTTAGGGGAGTCACAAGAACCTCTTTGTTCAATAGGTACTTTACCAGAGAAAAGACAAAGGGCTTCACAAGTGTACCCTGCACATGTGAGCTCCAGGAAGGTGTCCCTTGCACAGAAATGCCTAACACAGGTGAACCTTGAACAGGTGTGCCTGCATAAGAGACCCCCAGTAAACATCCTGTACAAGTGAACTCCCAAGAAGGTGAGCCCCTGGGCAGGTGTGTCCTGGGCAGGTGTGCCCTGCACAGGATCACTCTGAATAGGTGCACCCTCCACAGAAGAGCCCTCAATCAGTACACTACATACAACTGAGCTCTGGGAAGGTGAACCATAGAATAGGTATGCCTTGCATAAGTGAGCTCTAAGAAGATAGGCCCTGCACAGGTGAGCAAGCCTGAAGATTGGTGGATGTGTTAGTGTGGGCTATGTTCCTGGGTTGTCTTAATGACGGGGCCTCAGAAGCAGTCAGCGCCACCTGTTTTAGTATCTGCTAATGATTTGTACCTGAATTTGCTATTTGTAGGAGAAACGTGTTGATTCTCTAACTCGGACCATTCTTTACATATTCGTCAACTATTATTCTCAATAACATTCTTCAATTGGGAAATAACTGCAATTCCTTTTAAAAGGCAAGCCCGTGCAATTGTTTTATCCCTTCCTCTTCTGTATTTAATTACTATATTTCCTATCAATTATTTCATAAACATAATGGATGCTGAGGACTTGAAAAATGGGAACTTAACTGTTAAACTCTGACTATGGACTATCATGCCGCCAATGAAAAGAATCATACTCTACACACATAACATGACAAATGTGAGAACCTGGTTACATGGGAAGATAATAAGTGATATTCTTCCTTGTAAAAAGAAGTCCTATGACTCCTCTCCATGTACATGTGTATGAGATTGTGGAATTGGGTGTTGGGTGGACCCGTTGAGGACCCAGAGTAAAGGCCCTAAGTGACAGATCCCTGAGCAGCACTTAGAGGTGGTCTGAGATTTCCCCCTGTACCTGCTTCTGCGGCTTATGACTAGGTAGTGTCTGTGGAATGCTATGTCCTTCTCCCTCAGCTGGATAATACGGTGCAGGGAACTGCATGGGAAGAAAGGGAGGGTTGGAGATGACAGCGGACCTTGGATACTTGTTGAGTAGAGAAAGCTATCTGGGAGCTTTTTCTGCGTTCCTCAAGGTTAAGCAGGGCCATTGCAGCATTCAGTCCACGGACAGCACCGAGGCAGCTCAGTGGAGGAACTTCTGAGCACATAATGCTGGACTATAGCATAGAGTAGACACCCAGGTGTTTGCTCAGCCACGGTGCAGCCATATCATATGTAAAATGTGGGGTCCCTTTGATGCTTTTCCTGGAGGCATGAGTCTGAAGGACGTATAGGGTTCTCTCAAGAGGATCTGCTCTGCTCCTGGCTTTCTTCCTTGGACCATGACCTAGGAAGCCTGGCACATCCATAGAATCCAAGAGGAACTCTTAATTCTGTGTCCTGCCAGATGGCTGTTCTGGCCACAGCAAATTCTATGCAAGGAATGGCCAGGGTACAAGAAGTACTTTGTCTGGTTCCTCCTGAGGTAAGAAAAAAAAAAAGAAAGAAAACACTTTCTATAATAAAAATTTGACCTTATCCTGTGTCCCCATCAAGAGCCAGTTGAGCTGAGCTGTCACAACTGAGGCCCTCGCTACTTTTCTGCCTATTAGTAAGCTGCAATGACCTTTCGCTCTCTCTCTTCTCTGCGCCCTTCCCATCTTCTCACATGAAAGCACTCCTGCACTCACAAACCCACTGCTCAGATGGGACGCATGCCCAAAGGGGAATGCTTAGGTAAGGTGCTCAGGGCCCCTCGGTCTGCTACATCAGCATGTTCCCTAACTTGATTTCCAAGACGTTTGCGGCAGGGTGTTCAGCTTCACATTAGCCTCCCAAAGCAGGAAAATGACATCCAGGGGTGCTTCTGTTGATGCTATACAGTAGAGAATCCTTTGGATATCACCTTCAGGAGGACTTCTGGCTGCTTGTATGGACAGCTATGTGGGGACTGCAAAGAATGGCCCCCTGAAGACTCAGGGACACAGGAGTGGAAGGTTTCTAAGTATCCCACCCCAGCGACTAGTCAGGAGGTCTTTGGATATTGTCAGAATATCCAATTGTTCACTCCTCGGTCCCAGCATCTGTTGTAGATGGAGAGAGAGTAACAAAGCTGTACAACTTGAGTTCGCCATGAGCACTGTCTGGGCCAGCCTGCTCTGCCTCGTTTCTGCAAGAAGTTTTGCTTCTGTGGTTTTTAAACTTACGTTTTTTCGAACGTGGAATGGAAGCTGTCCCTCAGTGTTGCTGACCTATCGGTGGCACTGCCCACACTGGGCACACGGTGGACACAACAAGGAGCAGAGGTCCAAGGAGCCTCTCTCAGCCATACGGCCCTCGCATGACTCCCTGGGTTCCTTCATGCTCTTCCGGTCGGCCCTTCCAGAGCAATCCACTGGAGAGGGAGTAATGCCTAGGCACACCAGGCCATGCCCACCGCCCAGCATGGTGTGGACAAGCCCAGGTCGCGTGGGCGGCCCACAGCAACCTGCTGAGTTTGCAGGGCCTGCCCTAACCTCACTGAGCAGGAAAATAGGCTGAAGGCAGTGAAACTGAAGCTGGGGCCTCTATAAAACTGATAAAAAGCCAGGCGGTGGTGGCGCACGCCTTTATTCCCTGCACTCGGGAGGCAGAGACAGGCGAATCTCTGTGAGTTCGAGGCCAGCCTGGTCTACAGAGCAAGATCCAGGAAAGGCGCAAAGCTACACAGAGAAACCCTGTCTCGAAAAACCAAAACAACAACAACAACAACCTGATAAAAAGGCCTTTGGGAAGATATAAAGGGGGCTGAGAGAATGGCAGAAGACCTAGTGACTTAATACCCCAGCTTTGCAGGCCCCCTCAAATGCAGGGGCAGTAGAACTCCCAAGCGGATGTCTAGGAAGATCCCATAGGGAGAACCAAATCACCAAACCCAGCAGCCAGCTCATGCCCGAAGGAAAGCATCATTCAACACCCTAGGTGTCTGAAAAATATTTAAAGTGTGTAAATGATGATCCCTGCTCTAACTAGGCTCCACTCACCAGACCACTGATGCTATCCTGGAGTAGTCCCAGACTTAGGTCTCCACAAACTTAATACCATGAGGAGCCCAGTTTACCACACTGAAGGTACAAATCAGCAGGAAAAAATGTAACCACTCTCTATTTTAAAATGTGTTATAGAAATACAATGGAATCTTGTTCAGCATTATAAAAGAGGAAACTTACATCATTTGCAAAAATATGATGAGCCCAAGGACTTAATGCACAGTAGAACAAGCCAGGCACGGAACGACAACTCACTTTTGTGGAATCTAAGTCTGTCTCATAGAGCAAAATGTAGAGTGGCGTTACCAAGGCTGACTTTGGGTGCTGGTTAGAGGGCATGAAGTTTTGGTTGGATGAAAAAAAAAAATGTTCTAGTGACCTATTGCATAGAGGGGTGAATATAGTTAATATAAACCAAAATGCTGAGATAATTAAAACAAAGAAACTACATTTGAGGTGATAGATACTCTAATTCGCTCATCCTTCAATATATACATTGTATCAAAACATCTCATCTACCCCATAAGTATATACAATTATTAGTTGTCAGTTTAAGAAGAAATAAAAATTTTAAAACTACACAGCAGGCACTGAATCATTCATACACTTTCTACCACAGGCCTGTTGCTTTCTTCCAAGGTATTAAAATGAACAGACAAGCTGTTCCTATCTCAACAGCGTCGTGTGAGTATCTCATAAAAAAATGCTTTGACAACTATCTAATGAGCAGTTTTCTTCCTGGAGGATGTTTAAAGTCACACTCATTCTCTGGCCGCCCTTCTCAGCACTGTGTTCTCACGGTCCATGGTTTACACCTAATTCTTTGCTTCTCCTTCCAGGCTGCAGTGGTGTCTGGGACAACATCACATGCTGGCGCCCTGCAGACATTGGGGAAACTGTCACGGTGCCCTGCCCCACAGTGTTCAGCAACTTCTACAGCAGACCAGGTATGGTGTTTGCATTGACTCCAGGGCTCAAAGATGTTTGTGTCTGAGGGTCAGCTTTTCCATTACAGTAACAAGAAGCTGGGCCCTGCTGTTTAGGTAGCTGTGTGCTCCCTGGTCCTAAGGGAACTGTGAACATCTGGCCCATGCTGGGTGAGTTCTCTTAAGGAAGCAGGAGTAGCTCATCCACTGGAACCTAGATGGGCAAGCAGGGCAGATGTGGAGGGAAAGTCCAGGTGACAGCTCTCAGGAGGCAAAGCAGGGGAAATGTGCATGCATGAAAATGGAAATTAGGGGAAGAGGGAAGGAAGGTTACAGTTAGCCCGAGGGAGATTCCCACAAGGCTGTAAGTTTAGGTAGAGAATTCGGGCCACTGCACAAAGATGTTCCTGCTGAACAGATTGCTGTTTACTGGAGTTTGGAGAATCCGGAGCCACCTCAGCCCCTCTGTGCTATGTTGTTCTTTACGCATGTCTCAGGATCCAGGTTTTCACAACATGGAGGAATCTGTCTAGAAAAACACAGATTAGAAGACACGACTAGAACAAGCAAAGTACAATGCTTCCGAAAACTGGAAACTTTGTTTCCTCTGGTCAGATACTAAGGGGCAAAAACCTTTGAGGAATGATAACACAGATGTGGAGAAAAGCAGTGAGGGGAGAGACCTCCTCTCCTACTGGGAACCTGTGTCTCTAACCCACCTCCTCGGTCATTCATGGTCGTGTTAGGGGAGCTCAGCCATTCCCAAGAGTCTGTCCTCTAGGAGCTCCCTTCCAGTCCAGACATCAACATCTCCCTGAGGGGCTTGGCCATGAGTGCCAAGAGACACACCCTGAGTGTGGATGAGTCAGGTGTGGCCAGAGTCAGAGTCCTCAGGAAGGATACCAGTGGGTCCCCAGGGAAGGTGATGGGGGACCTAGAATCCTCTGGACACTATGGAATTGAGTCTGCCCAGCAGTGCCGCTTTCAGAACCACAAGCCTGGGAGGAACTGCTAATGCACATCGCCAGATAAGCACTCAGCCCTGCTGACTGCTTGGTACCGGTGAACAGGTAACCACTGACATGTAGAAAACAAACAACAAAACTGTAAGGCCTTTAAGTCGGAAACCCTACCTCCAGCTCAGGCTCAAATGTTACCCAGCCTCCGGGAGCTTAGCGTCCTATCTGAAGAATGAGAACAGCAATGTTAGCCACACTTGCCTCTCAGGCCCACTCTGAAGATAAACAGGTTTGTAAAGGAAGACCCTTGTTAAACTGAAATGTCCTAGACCCTGAGGGTCCCATGAGTGGCCTGGGCAAGGGACAGAAGCTCCACAGAGGAGGAGGACATGTGTCCTACCCTGGGGGCCTGGAATAAGAATCTGACCTGGTCAGTTCAAATCACTGATGTCCTTGTCTGTCCCTTTCCCACCAGGTCTGTCCAGAACCTGCCATGTTCTTTGTAAATAGAGTGAATGCTTCATTTCTGAATTTACCATAAATTTGAGATTATTCTTGCTGTTTAAATGCCAATCACATATTTTCCTCCAGCTGACAGACACGTGAAAACTGCCCTGCACTGCTTCTTAGGCATTGGAGGGTGAGGGGCAGGCCAAATGGAAAGGGGAGCAAGGATTGAAAGCTAAAGAAGAGAGCTAGCTCCAGAGCGCCTGGGCCTGGCCACCTCCTCTCTAATAGACACAGATGTCAGAATCTGCTAAGGGTCTTCGTTGGGCTTCAGAATGGAGATGCTCAGTTTCAACAAAGTAATTAGTGCTTGCTTCTGCTTTTACGGTTTTGTGATACAGTGTATCCACTTGTGTCTTCAGGGCCCTGGCAGGCAAGTCTCAGAGCATAGGCTAGGAGGAAGGACTTCTGGGTGGTCTCAGTCACTTGCTGGTTAGGGCTTCAGCATCAGCTTGTTGTATCATCCTTCTAAGTGAGGCCACTGTTCAAGGACCAAACATCTGAAATTTACTTTCCAGGAAACATAAGCAAAAACTGCACTCGTGATGGGTGGTCGGAGACATTTCCAGATTTCATAGATGCATGTGGCTACAGCGACCCGGAGGATGAGAGTAAGGTAGGTGCCCGGCCGGCCGGCCGCACAAGCTCCACTCACTGACACCGCAAACAGACCACATTGTCCATGGGTCTCCTTCCTTCTGTAGTAGTGCGGCTTCTCAATCCCTGCTTGGCTTCTGATCGGCTGTGACTTTGGGGATTTGCCTTCTCTGCATAATTTCGGAGGCCCAGGAAGGCAGGCTTTACTTACTTGTCGGCATGTCTGGATGGCAAAGACTCCTGTGAGTTACACCTGCCACAGACCAGCTCTTCTGGGGCCTCCTGAGCAACTCATCCTCCTTGCTGTCTGGATCCCTTCATCCCATTTACAGTTTCGCCATTGTCTGGGTTACTGGGAAGCTGGTTCAATCATTCTTAGTCTGATCCATGCCAAACACCTTCGGAAGCTCAGAGGCAGTGTCTGTAGCTGCTGGTGTCTTGTCTCAGGCCACTCATGCCCAGTGAGAAGAGTCTCTCCAGTCATAGCTACAGCATTCACCCCACCGTTTCTAAGATTAAGAGTACCACACTCACGAGTAGATCTTTCTGTAAGAATGTAATCATTGGGGCTGGAGAGATGGCTCAGCAGCTAAGAGCACTGGCTGTTCTTCCAGAAGTCTTGAGTTCAATTCCCAGCAACCACATGGTGGCTTACAACCATCTGTAATGAGATCTGGTGCCCTGGCATGAGATGAGATCTGGCATGCAGGCATACATACAGGCAGAACACTGTATACATAATATATTAAATCTTTTTTTAAAAACTACTTTTTTAAAAAAAGAATGTAATTGGTGGTATGGACATTCCTCATGGGCACCCACGCTCAGCCCTGAACCTCTGCCTGGCTCCATCTCAACTCTGGCAGCCTAGGGTACCTCTGCATCAACTTTCATTATGTTTTACCATTGCCTCCTCCTCTTCAGCCTGCGTCATCTTCTCACTGCAAGGAAGACTTGAGCTCCTTGCAAACCCACAGTCAGATATGTACTGACATACTGACTGCTCAGTAAGGAACTGACTAAGGGAGAGATGCTACAGAGACTCAGTAAATAGCCAGGCACAACACAGCCACTCATGCCTCATGCCACCTCCTGCCTGTCACAAGGGCCCTCCCGTCATCTGTGTTAGCAGTGCTGCTTTGGGGAGCTGGCCCATGTGATCTTTCCTCAGACCCATTGCTTTCTTTTCTTCATTAAGATTTATAATTCAAAGCCAAAAGATTTTGAAACTCAAGGAGAGAAAATGTCATGTCTTTGTGAATGCTCCACTAGTTGAAGGCAGCATTCCTACACACTGGCCAGTAGTTAGTAGCATAGCAGTGCTGTGGGATGTTCTGTATGGCAAATGTGTTGCTCTGATCGGCTAATAAATAAAACACTGATTGGCCAGTAGCCAGGCAGGAAGTATAGGCAGGACTAACAGAGAGAATTGGAACAGGAAGGCAGAGGGAGAGACCTGCCAGCCACCACCATGACAAGCGAGATGTAAGGTACCGGTAAGCCACGAGCCACGTGGCCACTTATAGATTAATAGAAATGGATTTATTTAAGATAAAAGAAATAGATAACAAGAAGCCTGCCATGGCCATACAGTTTATAAGTAATATAAGCATCTGAGTGATTATTTTATACATGGGTATGGGACTGTGGGGGCTTGGTGGGACATGGAGAGAAGCTCTCCAGCTACATAGCAGCCTCAGAGTCGTATGTGTACATGAGCCAGGCAAGACACCATGCTTCTCAGTCAGGCTTGATGACACCGATTCCACGGATGGGTACTCAAGCTTGGAGCTGTGATTTACTGGCTTTTTACTGATCTGTCTGACTTTCCAGCCTTCTATTGCCCCCACACTTGCTTTGTCATTTCCACTAGACATGGCAACCACTGGGCTCCTACCCTCTTCAGCTGTGTTATTGGAAGTCTCAGCTCTGGGCTGGGATGCTGGCTGGGACGTCACCCTTTAAGCACACTCAGAACACCATGGAGAGGGCCCTGCATTGCATCCTGCATAGTGAAACAAAGTTGAGAGAAGAACCGGTAGAGTGTTGGAGACCAGGATTCCCCACATTTGAACAGATGCCTGCTCATTTCTAACCTACTACCCCACCCAGGAGCCCATGCACAAACCCCCGTCAGATGTGGGAAGAGGGAACCTATGTCTTTCCTCTCTCCCATGCTACACACAGCTGATGGCCTGGTTCTGCTGTGTGGCATCACTTGGCGCCTCTCCCTAAGAAAGCAGGTTTCTTTCCTGGACAGTGACACTGTGGTGCTGCCTGCCTGCTCTGTTAGGCATAATCACTGCCTTTAGCTTCTCTGTGACAAGTGTATACCATGTACTCTGTGGCTATGATTATTGATGAAGCCGTGGGTGGTACCCACCGCCCTAGAACTACAGCATGCTGCCGAGCACACAGGACAACTGTGTGATCTGGACTTGGTGATTACAGAGTGTTCTGAATCTCATGTCACTGAACCCCACCCATATATCCTGAAGACCAACTTCAAGAGGAGGTTCACTAACCTGAGTCAGGCTCCTGAGCCGAGAGAATGCAGACAAATGGTAGCTACTTTGGATGCAGTTGAAGCCAAGGTACAGAGAGACTACTAAAGCAGATGTGTCCTCACCTAGGTCACCTGCATCCTGTGAGTGTGACTAGAGACCCAAATTTTCAGACTTCCCTGCTTCCTCCTCGTTTACCGAATTCCTGAAATGGCTGTTTCTGCCCTGTTTGTTAATGGCACTGTCCTGTCACCTTGATACCAAGTGACGCTTCACGTTTCACCCTTTTATATATTGAATCCCACAAATATGGCCCCCAAATCCCACAGGGCCTTTGGCAGGAGCACAAAAGACAAAGCTCTGGGCAGCCTGGCCTGCACCTCTGAGGTCCGCCTTTTTAGTATCCCTTTCTCATCTGGATATGGAGAAGAGCAAAAACCCCATCTGAGAACTCTGTTCATGTGGAATCAGATCTGAAGCATGTTTTTACAGAAGACTTGAGTGCATTTTGGGCTCCTGAGATAATCCCAAACTGCTCTGAAGCAGTTCGGTGGGCTGTCTTTAGGAAGCTGCCCTGTGGCCTTCTGGGAGTGAGGTGTCTTCTCGGCCCAAGCACTGGTTCTGCAGGGATGGTTTCGTTAGTCCCCTCCTGAGTATCCTGAGCTCTGATTCAGAGCAGGGATGATGGTCATGGAGCGGGGGCTTTGACTTGTCCCTCTGAAGCTGGTCAGCTGAGACACATCATCTGCTCAGGGGCTCTGTGGACAGATCAAACAGCCATGAGTCTTGGGGCTTCTGTGAAGGTGTAGAGTTGGGAGGATTCCCACATCTAGGTGAGATCATCCGCCCTGTGAGCCTGCATATGGGCTTTGCTTCATATCTGAACACGGCTAGGCGTGCAGGCACTGAGCAGTGTCCTAAAGCTGCATCCGCACTACCTTCCTAGGCCCTGCGCAGGTCCCTGGGGGAGGCATGGGCCAGATACTCACTCAAGCCTTCGTTCTCATGTGCATGAACTCCTGTGTGCAGAGATCTCTGGGAGCAGCATTCTGAGCTCTCCCCAGCTATGAGGATTGATGGGGGTGCAAGAGGCTCCAGGGTGTCCTTGCAGAACAAGACCTCTCTTTTCCTTCATAGCTCCTAGGTCACACTCAGGAGGTGTTTCCAGAGACCTTGGAAAACTCCTCAGCCCCATTTGGTGCCTCTGAGGGGGCTATAATTAAATCCTGCCTGTGTGCGGCACAGCTTCTGATGCCTCGTGCATTCTGTCTATTTTGAAGAACTATTTTTGTTCTTAATTAAACATTTCAGAGATTCTTCAAATATCATAAATTTATAATAATGGATTAAAAAGTCAAAATATTTTAATGCAAAAGGCAATGGAAATGATGGACCAAAGTCAAAATGAGTAATTTTTCCAAATTACAGTTTCCACACTTTAAATACTTTAGATACTGGGCTGTTTCACAGACTCATTGAAATATGAAACTATGGCAAATTCTGTGCCATCAGAGATGCCCTGAGCACTGAGACAGACTCCAGCTGGGCTCTAGGCACACACTGCTCAAGCTGCACCCACACACTGCCCAAACTGGGCCTTGTCAAGACTAGCTCTTTATTTTTGTCTTTTTTTTTAATTGAAAATTGATACAACATATTCTAATAGTGGTTTATATCCGCATGTCCTCCCAAATCCTCTCCACACCACCATTCATCCAATTCCACGGCTTCTTTCCCTCTCTTTTTAGAAAACAGACAGGCAAAATTTAAAAAGCAAACAAACCAGAATTTAAAAAAAAAAAAAACAGTGGAAAAGCTACAGAGAAATAGACAGACAGACAGAGAGAACCTATAAAAACACTAAGTTAGAAGCCACAATATACATGCAAAAGACTAGTAAGGTAGAAAATGCCCCAACAAAGCAATATGAGACAAAAAAAAAAATCTACAAAACCACCACTGAGTTTATCACACTCTAATTGGATTTAGAGCCCACTCCATAAGATGGAACCCATGCCTGACACTGCTTGGGTGGCCAAGAACCTGAGACTAGACAAGCCACAGCCTGGGAAAGGCTCTTTTGCCTGCAACAGCTTGAGCTTTGCCTCAACATCTCACTTTCTCCGCAGATTTGTGTTTTGGGGGTGCCCCAATCACAGGTAGTCAGACTCTCCCACGGGGACTATGTGGGTGATCATCATTGGTTTCAAAACATATTAAGTTCAAGAAAAATAAAGAGACTTCACAAAAACCATAGGCTTGGCTGCATATGGAAGAATAAAAAGATGAATTGACAGTGCCGGGAATCTCTTTGAGGGGAGAGGCCCTCGGGACTTCGGCAGAGCGCCCAGAGCTGTCTATATGGTCATAGCTCACTTGAGGGCAAGGAGCTGTCCCTGTTATTCCTTTCCCACCTGGCTCTCAAATAAAGGAACACTTTGGCTAAATTTAGAAGAGAGCTTTTGGCACTTGTATCAAGTAGACACATTTCTTCCATACCATTTGATATTCCTAA